AGACAGAGAGAGTAAGCCCCCTCTTACACAAAAATCGTAAAGCAGCAGGACATTCCAACCAATAGAACAACTTTTCCCCTGTTTCAAAAATAAAAACACCACAAGAAACAAATGAAAATGCTACTTATATTTATTATTTTGTGGTTTATTTTAATGATTGAAGAAACAAAGCCAATTCTATAAACTACTACATGTCCATCATTATCTTCACGTCAAAGCTCTAGAAAAATCCTGGTTACACATATCGCAGCTAACTTAGCCACTGGTATTTTTTTTAATATTTTTTTTAGTTGTTGATAGACCTTTATTTATTTATATATGGTGCTGAGAATCAAACCCAGTGCCTCACACATGCCAGGCAAGTGCACTAATGCCAAGCCCCAGCCCCAGCCCTAGTCACTGCAAGTTAAAGGGGCTCTGTTTAAGAATATTTTCTGTTCTTATACATGTGCTCTTAGACCTAGGCTAACAACAATAAACAAATCCAACTGGCCAAAGAAGGAAGAATTCTGGTGGACAATTGGACCACTATGTTGCAAATTATAATGTTCACACCTGCAGAATAATCTCACCAGCATAACCAATCTATCCTGAAATGCAGCTCCACTGTACCAAAAGGGGGATCTCTTCTTCCACTAGATCCTATCTTTCACTGATAAACTCTTTGGATGAGAAAATCAGCAACAGATGTGAAAGCCACATGGCTTTCGACAAAGCGGGAAAGCAAAAAGCAATGTTAAAAGAAATGATTCCTTAAACAGCAGCTCACTATCAAGAATAAAGATTTTATCGTCTAATGCTGACTTTGTGTAATGCAGCTAGTTATTAGACCCTTTTCCAAGACTTCAGCTAACAGCATCAGGCTCAAATCCAGGAGCTGGACTCATTTAGCAACACTCTTGTTTTCAACTCTTGGGAACAGGGCCAATGTGTAAAGTTAGAATATAACAAATCAGATTTCCAAAGGGAAAGAAGACAATATAGGTACTCTTATTTAATACAACTGATAGGCTCTGGGCCTGGTTCACACTTCAGCACATTGAGTTTCAGTTTTAAATAATTTCCATCATTTCTTAAAGACACACACTACACATCCAAAAATATTTGCCAGCATCTCCACTGAAGTAATACTGAGGCAATTAAGAATACTGAAAATTCTTTCAAACTCACATTTAAGTAGAAAAAAAAATGATTAAGCAAAATGTGTCATGAAAAATAGTGTCACACCACAAACTCTCTAAATTGTCCTGTATCACGTGTGATTTCACCCAACTGCCAACAACATAGCAAGTTCTATAGTCCAAATCTGACTTTTACCACTCTCAAACTGCCTTAATATCCTGGACTTCATGTTCTTGGGGTGCTTTGGATTTTAGTGTATAGTCTTCTTACTAGCGAATTTTACCAAACCTTTCCTCTTGGAAGATATCTCCACCTGTGTAAAATGCATTATAGAATCCAAGGATGAAAATGGTAACCACTAAACAAAGTCATTTTTTGGCAGTTAAGAAAATGGATCCTCCAATATCTTCTAGGGAATATCATAAAAAGCATATGATCTGCAGTCATACACACTTAATAAAAATCAATGGGAATCCATAAATGTGATATACATGAACAGAATGAAGGACAAATTTATATGATAATCTCAAAAACACCAAAAAAAAGCATTTAATGAATTTCAACATCTTTTTTATGATAAAAACTCTTTAAGAAACCAAATATAGAAGGAATATACGTCAGCACAATGACAGATAAGTAGCATCACACTCAACTGTAAAATGCTGAAGGTTTCCTCTAAGACCAGGAATAAGACAAGGGTGCCCACACTCCCCACTTGCATTCAACATAGGGCTGGAAGTCCCAGATGGATTAAGGGGACGTTCAGATTGGAAGGGAAGAGGTCTCCTTGTCCCTGTTGGCCTACAGTGTGATCTTTTATATATAGAAAACCCTAAAGACTCCAACTAAAATACAATCAGAACTAATAAATAGATTCAGTAAAGCTGTAGGATACAAAATCAACATTCAAAAATCAGTAGCTTTTGTATTATGTTAACATGGAACTAACTATTCAAAAAATAAATCAATGATCCCATTCACCATAGCTACAAAAAAAAAAAAAAAAAAGCAAAATACTTAAGGAATAAATTCTACCACAAAGATTAAAGACTGAAAACTATAAACATTAATGAAGGAAACTGAAGGAGACATAAATAAATGGAAAAATACCCCGTGTTCATGAATCAGAACCATTCCATCAAAAGCACTCTACAAATTCAATGCAATACCCATCAAAATTCCAAAGACATTTTTCACAGAAAGAAAAAAATATATACAAAATTTGTAACCACAAAAGACCCTGAGTAGACAAAGCAATCTTGAGTCAAAAGAAAAATACTAGAGGCATCATACTACCTGCCTTAAAAACATACCACAAAAGCTGGCCAGAGTGGCACAAGTCTGTAATTCCAACAACTCAGGAGGCTAAGGAGGGAGGATCACAAGTTCAAGGCCAGCCTCAGCCACCTAGAGAGTCCTAAGTAACTTAGTGATACCCTTCTTGGAATAAAAAATAAAAAGGGCTGGGGATATGGCTCAGTGGTCAAGCAGCCCTAGGTTCAATTCCCAGTACAAAAAAATACACACACACACACACCATAAAGCTACAGTAATTGAAGCAGTATGGTACTGACATTAAAAATAGATATACATAGACCAACAAAACAGAACAGAGAACCCAGAAATAAACCCCTGCATTTACATTTAATTGGTTTTCAACAATGGTGTCAAGAACACACAATGTGGAAAAGATAGTCTAATGAATCACACTGGGAAAACTGAATATTCCCACAGAGAAGAATGAAATTAGACCCTTATCTCACACCCACATACAAAACTCAACTCAAAATGTATTCAAGTCTTAAGTGTAAGACCTGAAACGATAAAACTACTAGACGAAAACAGGAGAAAAGCTTATTGACACTTGTGCGGGCAATGATTTTTCTGGATATGACCCAAAATAACAGGCAACAAAAGCAAAAATAGACAAACAGGATGAGAACTAAAAAGCTCTGCACAGCAAAGAAAATAGTCAACAGAATGAAGAGACAACCTATGGTGTAAGAGAAAATATCTGCAAATCACACATCTGATAAAGAATATCGAAAAACATCTAAGGTACTCAATAATCAGAGAACAAGTAATTTGATTTAAGAATGAGCCTAGCACCTGAACAGACATCTCTCAAAGATATACAAGTGGCTGACAGGAATATAAACATCACTAATCAGGAGAGAAATGCGAATTAAAACCTCAAGGAAGCACCACCTCCCACTGTCAAAATGGCTGTTATCAAAAAGACAAAGGATAACAAGTCCAGAGAGGCTGTGGAGAGAAGGGAAGCCTGCAACTCTACTGATGAGAATGTAAATTGGTAGAGAAAACTGTAGAGGTTTCTTTCAAACAGCAAAACTACAACTACCCTGTGATCCAGTTGTTTCACTGCTGGGTATAAATCTAAAGAAAAGAAAATCAGCAGGTCGAAGAGAGAGCTTCACTCCCATGCTCGCCACAGCATTATTCACCAGAGTCCAGACACAGAATGAACAGATGACTGCATAAGGAAAACGGGGTGCATACGCACAATGGAATACTAGTCAACCTTGAAAAAAAAAGGAGCTCCTTCCATCTGTGACATAACTGTGTCTAGAGGGCATTATGTTCAATGAAATAAACCAGGCCCAGAAAGACAAATACCACATGATCCCACATAATCCCACATGATATATGTAGAATCTAAAAAAATTGAATTCCTGGTAATTTCTGCTGCTAGAGAGGAGACAGAGGTTGCAAGGGGGGATCCAGGAGTTGGAGAGATACTGGTCAAAGGATATGTCAGAAAAGAGGAAAAAGTTCAAGATTTCTACAAGAGATCTACTGCACAACATGATGACTATAGTTAATAATAACGTATTGTATACTTGAAAAATCCCTAGAGAACAAATTTTAAAATGTTCTCACCACAAAATAACAACAGTATGTGAGATAACACATATGGTAATTAGCTTGACTGAGCCATTCTACAATGTATACATATTGTACAAAATAAGTAAGATTTTTATCAATTGAAAAGATGAATTAAGGGGCTGGGGTTGTGGCTTAGCGGTAGAGCACTCGCCTAGCATGTGCGAGGCTAAAAAGGATAAAGAGAAATCAAGTATATACTCTCAGCCAAAATGATGAGAACAAAAGAACAACTTTAGTGGCATAAACACTTGCCTTTCAAAGTGTGGCCAAAGATAACTGGTGACACCTGGTCACAAATGTGGACCACTGGGCCCCACCCCAGATCTCCTTAATTCAAATATGCATATTACAGATATCCCCCATGATATGTGCACACAATGAAGCTTGCCCTAGATGGTATCTCCCAACAATCCACCCCATGGTGTATGCCCCAGAGTCAGCATTAAATGGGTGACATTGATCTTCAATTCCCTGGTGGGTCTCAGTTTTCACATTCCTCTACCTCACTGAGTGGGATTCTGGAGCTTAAAGGGCAATTTGGACTATACGCCTAAAACATGACTTCACTGTTCTGTCCCTGAACTGACCCTCAGCTCCCACCCTAACAACTAGCCTGATTTAATCAAGGACTCACATCTTTGCACTAAAAACTGTGAGTACATTAACAGTGTAGGCTGGCTCAATAAAGGCAGAGCCCAGAATTGTCAGCCTTGAGCTCAGTGCCACAGGTCAGCCACAACTCAGAATGCAGGGAGAAGAGAGCTCTTGAGTTCACAGTCACAGAAAAATAAACACCAAGTGGTGATGTGCAGCACGGTCCTTTCTTTAAAGTTCAAGGTTGCCTTCCTTCAAATAAAGTCACTATGCAATTCGCTAATCCTATAAAGTTTGTAACTCTATGAATTTCTGTTATCCAGGGGTTTTAACCATACATGGTAGAAAATCTGAACATCTGTTTAATAGCAGCTTACCTGTGCACACCTTCCTAGCTCCTTCCTGTCCAGATACTGAAATATATTGATTGCCAATTCATAAGGCAGCTGGACATCAAAGAAGGGCACATCGTCCATTTCATTCTGAGGAGAAAAAAAGAAACAAGCTTAAGATTCTGAAATATGAAAATAACTCACATCTTCAGGCCTTTTAAGTTACCAGAGATACTCTTAGGTGGTAACAAGAGAGATAAGGCTGTTTTCCAGAAGGGAAGTACTCTATTTCACAAAGAAGTCATGAGACTAATTCAGAACTTGCCAGCCACTCTCAATTCTCTGACCCCCACAAACCTCACATACACTTACAAAATCCACATGACCTGGGATACACTACAAAAATAGATGAAAAGGTTTGTGGAAAGCCTCCTGCCTTCTAAGGCAAAGTGAGCAGCAGCCGTCCAAGAAAGTGAGCCTGCAAGTCAGGGAAGCCACCCCTCTTCCCAGGACAACTGCTACTCTCCCCACCTCAGAGAGGGGGCACACCCAAAGCTGGAGAAATGCTGACCTGGGTCACTGAAGTGTTTTCAAACCAGGGAAAGAATAGGGCAGTGAACATGAGTAAAAAATCAACATGCCCAATGCTCTCTAGATGGAGGTGAACCCGTCCCTCTGCGAGGTTCCCTAATGCTCTCAGGGGCTTACGCTGGTTAACCTGAGCAAGCCAGTGCAAACAAAGAGTTCTTCTTCGGTGTCATTTATTAATGCAGAGAAATGAGAGCTCGCCTGCCTTTGGGTAAGCAATTAGAGATGAGGTAACAGCTTCAGCTGGAGATAAGGCTGTCATGACGACCCTGGTGGCACAAAGCAATACGTGCGAGAACAGGGAAAAGCCAAGTGTGCATGTGTGCCCCTCTGCCTGTTCCCAAATCCACCTGCCAAAGCTCACTGTGGCATGGTATGTGCCTTGCAAAGCTAGGGAAAGCTGTGCTCTTTGTCCCGGCAGAACTCACTTAATAAAATTCATTTTTAATAGGCTTTGGCTGACATCAGTGACTTATTGGTTGCAGGCAAATTGTTAATTCACTACTCAAATACAACAGTTTTGTGTGTTGTGAGACTGCAGTCCCAAAATAGAAAATAGTCTCAGCATTGTTAATGGAGTGTGAGCACTAATTTAGACCCCACCACAACTCAGGATAAAGATTATTCTGGAATTGTATTCCTATTCATTTAAGAGTCTCAGGGATAAGGAAACTCTGGAGCATAAGGAAATGTGGTGCTCAACTGTAAAAACAGTGCAAGGTGAAGCACGAGAGCCAAAAAAGCTCTCTAGAGGGAAAAAAAGTGAGAGCTGACAGTCCTCTGTGGACAAAGAAGGAACAGAATGCTAAAACAGGAGAGAAGCGTTGGCCATACAGACAAAAACAGGAAAAAATCTGCAAGGGTAATTGGAAAACACAGGGTCTTTGCCTAGAAAAATAATGGAAAGTCATTGGTCTCGCATCAGGTGAGGTCCCCTCCCACAACTAACTGGCTTCACTCAGCCCAGATACAACTGAAGACACCTCACAACCCACCAGAGGGAGTCCCAGCTGGTCAGGGAAAGCATGCACAAGACAAGACTGCCACACGCACCTCTGGACTCCCTCCTGCTCTCCCCTTTAGATTATTAAGACCGTAGTGAAGCAGAAAGGCCTACATCACCTACTTAGAAAGAAACAAGAGAAAACTGTTCCTTATCCTCATACAAGCAGAAAAGGCAGAGGGAAAAGCCCACACTCTTCAAAACTGAAGTCTCCTTTTGTGACTTGTCAGGACTTGCTTTCTTCAGTAGGTCCCGTTCAGGATGCTCCATGACCTAGTTTCTGGATTTGATACTCTGATGAGGAATGAGACATCATCATCTTTGTTTTTATTCTGGTGCAGAAAAGTCACACTTTTGGTGGCTGCAGCTCCTGTCTTAGGTATACACAGCTGGCCTATCCTCCATCCTCATCCTGGAAGACAGCACCTCTATCCTAGCATACCCAACCCTGCCATGGTCCCTCTTGATCCCAACCACCACCATCTCTGGGAGCCTTGGAGGCTCAGAGCAGATCCCAACTGGTTTCAACTGGTGATAAAGCTAATTGTTACCTTACTAGCCAAGCCAGCAGTCTAACTTCATCTGAGTTTCCTCATCTATAAAACAGACCCAGTATAACAACCCATGAACATGTTATTACAAATAAAATGAGATAATACACAGAGAGAGCTTGGCACATGTACCAGGACTAAGCATGCAATATATGATTGTGAATATTGCTATTCATTTTCCTTGAGGGACTTTTGTCTATTTCTTCAACAAACAGGTGTTCCCCCTCTCATGACACTCCTAAACCAGCTTGTTTACACATTATATTTATTGTCATATACAAGCAGATGACAATCAGAGCAATAGCAAAAGGCTGGCAGAGGCTAAGCTACTCAGAAGTCTGAACACCAAGTACAATACAACAGGGATTCTCCAAGAGGACTTTTTAAAACAATCAACTTTAAAAGGGCAGTCCTCTATAGTGACTCAGGAAGGATTCCTTCTGGTGCACACTGGATGGAAAGGAGGCATTTCCCCCAAGCTGCGAGTGACCAGTAAGTGGTGTTATGGCCACCATTACAACAGTCAGTCAGATGCTGCACTGGTCTGTTAATGCACAGGCAGTGATGGATCATTTCTAAGTCCTGGAGAGAAACCAAAGCATTATATTGTAATTATGTAAACACCAACAGTCCAAAGACAAACTTTTTTAAAAATCAGTGTGCTCTTAGAATTACATCTAAACTCTAAAACCATCGATCATCAATCCAAAACAGATCAAGTCCCAGACTTTCATATAATAATAAATGATTTTCCCTGTTGTTCCACTGACTAGAGAACAGCAGGAAGATCCACATCTTAAGAAATACGTAGCTGGATGGGGTGGCACATGCCTGCAATCCCAGCTATTCAGGAGGCTGAAGCAGAAGGATCACAAGTTCAAACCCAACCAGGGGCAACTTAGATGGTGTCTCAGAGAAAAAAAAGACGGGGGGCAGAGGGCTGGGGACATGGCTCAGTGGTAGAGCTAGCATGTTCCAGGACCTGGGTTGGATCCCCACCTCATAAAAAGAAATATGTTGACCCACAAGGTCAGGAGATCAAATGTTGCAGCTTCATGCTGCACAAGGCATTCATTCAATGGCTCTAGTAGTGGACACTGCAAGTCCTCCTTCAGATCGGATGAAATCATTCTACCTGATGAAAATGCTACCTGCCAGTGATTCAGAGCTGAGTGCTTCCTAGACACTACCCTTGGCCAAAGAAGCTTCCTTACTAAAGAAACATCTCCTCCCAGAGGGCAGCCTGCATCTGCTGATTAGTCAGTGCCTATATACAACAGCCCGGCCCTGTTGCCTCAAAGCTGGATCTCTCCGAAAGACCAAGCCACTAAACCACCTACCTGAAATATCTGTCTCAGAGTCTGTTTTGTGTAGAGTCAAAACTTTTTTTCCCAAACCAACAGAAATGGTGGTCTTGTGTCCAATTCATCCCCAAGGGTTCCTCTGTACAATTCCAGAGACATCAGTCTAGGAAACCTACTTCCCACTCAAGGAGGTATACGGAAGGCAGGTGAGGATAATGTCATTATACCAGCCAACTAGAGTAGATTAAAGTTTAAGTAAATGATTCATAAACCTCTTTTTGTTATTATTAATAACATACCACTTGGGAAACAACTCACAGAAGATTAAGAGTTATGAGGATGTGGTTGAAAACACAATTCTTTTATAGTATGCATAACTCAACAAGGACAGGCAGCCGCATCCTGGGCCAAAGCTGTAGCCCCAGTAACCACGGAAACTCTCCTAGTTGCAGCAGGGTGTCTGAAGCACTCGGATTAGTGTTTACCACAGTTCACAGACATAGATAAAAATATAACTTACTCCTAGAGAAATTCCTTGTTATCTAAAAGAGAGCTACCACACTACCACCTAGACTATGGTGAAGCACACTCCACCCAAAGAGTTTTGAGCCATTTTAACCCACCTCAATATCTATTCTGACTTAAAAACATGAAAATGGGAAACTCTGAATTTCAGAAACATACTCAAAGAAGAAGGAAATTAAAGACATTGAGGGCTGGAGATAGTGCTCAGGGGTAGAGTGCTTGCCTAGCACATGTGAGGCTCCTGGTTCCATCCCCAGCACTGAAGGAAAAAAGGCACTGGAATTATTAATACAGGAGAATTAGTCACACTATAACAAAAATCAATGTGACTACACTGATAAAGCAATACACTATTATTGTGCACTCGCTTAATAGTTCCCATCAGTGTGAGACTTGCCAAATTTATGCTCTAGAAAACCAATGAATTCAAAGAATTAACATTCTTCAAATGTAAGGAAAAGTGTCTTTCTGATTACACACAACCTGGTTTTTAATGCTTTGACCAACAGCTTAGATATTCTCTTACCATTCTTAGTGACTTCTGTCACCAAAAATGGTGACTCCTATCAAAATCATCCATAGAGATTTTTGTATTTGTTTTATTTTGAATGCTGAGAACCCACCTAGACCTACTGCCCCCAAATTTCAGGGAAGGTACTCAAACATCACCTTCTCAGGGGTTCCTCATGCACATTAAAAACTGAGAACCACAGCCCTAAATCATAGCAGATATCAAATCCATCTACTGGCTTTCCCAAACAAGGGAAACACACACACACACACACACACACACGGGTAGTGTTACTTTGTTAATTTAAGGTCAGTGAGTACAAGATTTTCCCAAAGTCTACTGGACTTACTCCAAAAATGCTGAGAGAAATTGCAAAGAGATCCATCCCCAGGGAGGCTGATTTGCACTCCTATGTGCTAATATAAGACTAATTCTGTAAATGGATTGGTTTTGTGCCTTACTGTTAGAAATTTAATCTGTGTTCTCTTGTTTAATAGAAGAAGGGATAATTACTAAGAGACAAATCAGTACAAAGTAAAGAAACTGACTTAAGGTTTTTGTTCTCAATGTATATCTCCAGGGCAAACAACACGAAGAGCTCTCTAGGTGGTGTTTTGAGAATCTGAGAAAAGAAATCACTTTAGGTTCAAATAAGAGATCTGCAGTAA